TATATATACAACAGCCCTATGATACATGCACCTTCATGTATTATTTATTATTTTCTACTTTCTTGGGGTCTACTCAATTAAGTATTACAAAATCAATTTGGTAGGAGCGGAGAGGGTATTGAACTTTTCACCAAGCCTGTAGAGAGTACATGGCTATGTTAGAACCATTACCATTGCGGGAGTTGAACTACAGTACTGATGGAAGTAATAAACCATTTCATCAACCAACGTCACAGTTAAACACCATCTTGAAAGTCCGTACAATAATATATTGATATCCTTCAAATTTACGCCCAATCACCAATTTAGGTTTTATAGATATAAGGCAAAAACAATAATATTATTTTGTTGCCCAAGCACGATGACACATTGAATTACGGTTTTTCAGCAATTTTTGTTTGTTAGGCTTTTAGCCTGTTTTGATAGGCATAATTCCATGGTTGTGTGGTTGGTTTATAATATAAAGCATTGTTGGCGTGTTCCTTGCCGTTGGATGCGAATGAATTTGTTTTTTAATCTTGTTGTAAATCTTGAACGATGCCATTTTGAAACTTCATACAACTGTTTCATATTTTTTGAGCTTGAGCAGCAGAAATGTTGTGTGCGCGTGAAAAGGCAGGCCCGTAGCCAGGTTTTTCTAAGGGCGGGTTTTCTGGGCGTGAGCTCCACAGTCGAAGCCCCGGCGGGGTCGGCGAAACCCCCTACCAAGAGGATTTTTGTGCTGTATGGGTCTAAATAATGCTATAAAAGCAGATATGTTTGAAAATGGCTGTGTCTGGGTGGGTCTGCAGTGCATTAGTTGGGTTGGAGGACTTATTTGGAAAATTTAAAGACGGGGTTTCGCCAGAAAAGAGGGGAGAGGGTTGCTAGAAAAGGGGGTTCCCCTAAACCATAACCCCCCCCCCCCACTGGATACGGGCCTGAAAGGGGTGGGTGAGGGTGCTACCTAAGGAGAATGGCAATCGGAGATGCGGTACACGTTAGCTATACAGTAGCAATTTTAATTAGCACTAATGCGAAGTCCACACATTCAATTAAAAAAATCTCTTGATATATTAAGACTGGTTGGCACTGTGTCTTTTAGCTGTGCCTGTCCCGGACGTATGTTTTGTTACATTATCTTTCAAAAACAATATATACATTATATCTTGTTTTGCATTAAATAACATACCTATCCGATATCGTTGCTATCAACGAATACTCTACCATCTATCAAGTCAGTGGATACATTTCAGTGTACAGTACGGTGTACTTACCTTTTTATCAGAAGAGTTACAACGGCTACAACGGTCTCTACAACCGTAGGTATAAACGTACTGATTTTAAATTCACTCACTAAAAGATATCGATTTTAGTACAAGAAGATTTTGAACGGTACCGGTTTACAGTATATAGAATTCCGTAGTATTATATCCCTATTGGAGGCTCGATAGCGCCTCCTTACTCTTTGCTTTCCACTTAGCAAATGTAGGCCAAAGCCGAGCAGGAGGTGATAATAAACGATGGTCGTGCACTTGGTAAAGTTCGTTCACTCTCGAGACTCCCTAGCCTATTGAAAGTAATCAGCCAATCATGTTTCATCTACGCCAGCGTTATTATAAACAACAGAGTTTGTATTTTGTTAAATATTTTGTGGTGAAGGATGTCACCACCTTTATTATTCATAAATCAAACGCTCATTACAATTCAAAATGATACAATATCAATTATATATAACATGTTTGTATTATAATATATAGACGTAGGTGACGTTGTTTTCAATCAATTTGTCAATTGATAGGCCTAGACTAATACGATAGCCTAGGTCTCTTTTGTAGTTAAAATTATTTGTCCTTTATATCAACCCTGAAGACTAGAGTAGGAGCACTCGAAATATGGGTTCATTAAATTTTATGTTGCAAGAATTCACTTTTTATCGTCTCATGTATTCGTGGTATTTTGTAATATTATTTGATATACTTCAACAACATTTATTTTTATAGACAACATAGTTTACGGCAGGCATGGTAGATTTTCCGGTGTGTAATTGCTGAGCTGAACTTGGCAGTCGATGCTTACATACATTGAATGTTACTATTAATGAGCCGTGTATGCTAATAAACATATCTTACAAAGCCGTGTTTTTTTATTGCCAAGTACTCATGGCTCAGTTGATGTATTAACAATTGGATGCCAAGTTCATGTCGAGGGCAAACCCATAATAATAATAATATTGTTAGGTTGATCGATGAATCTCGAATTACAGGCGATCAACTCAATAACGTTCTTGCAGTCGCTGGGCTTATCAAATTTCATTCACTAAAATATTAAATTCAGATTGTACATTCTATATTTCATCTGCACAATGCAATGATTTTTTCACCGCCTTGTATATTGGGATTTTACCAAATAAATCTTGAAGAGCCACACTGCTGTAGTAGTTTAATATCTATTTAAAGATGTATTTCCTATGCAAAATATCAAACAATCATAAAAATCATTTTTTAAATTAACTTGCTCATTTTGAACATAACAATTATGAACTTGAACATAGAAATAGGGCATTCAAAATATATCTATGAGGTTTTCAGTGATAGAAGCTGTATTTTTCAATCTGTGTGTTTTTCAAGACAACGGTCCATTTTGGTAGCATATTCCTTGTTTATGGTAGGCCTCTATGGGTATTGTATTCATCATTAGTTAGTTAATATGATTTCTCCTTCGAAAGTTAGTCAGATTGCAGGATGGAAGTATCAAAAAGAACACCCTCCTCTATAGAGAAATATATATATCTAATTGAAAATATCTATGGTTTACATTGCAAAAAAGGAATATAAAATTACTTATCTGAGAGCATTTCCTAATAGGCCTATCGTCCTCTAAAATGACAAAAACAAATACAGTAAAATATAAAAGAAAATATTACACAACAGTCGCCGTGGTCAGTGACAATATTCTCATTGAATTGTTTCATTTGTCCTATACTGTACTGTAGAGTACTACAGTTTTACATCACGATACCACGTGATCTCCGTTGCTATCGTTACAAAAAGAGTTTCAACCGGACGCCATTCTTTGCTGACAAACCATTGCTCCCAATTTCTAACGTAATTATTAAGATGTTTTATCCTACTTTTTCTTTGTAAATTTTTATTGATGATTAAATGTGTGTTCGATAACTAATAAATGCGAGCTTTTGTGTTTTTAGTACATTTTGATGCTAAAATATTAGATTTTAAAATGCCTATTCCAGAAAGCCTATGAAGTCATTCATAGCATGTTCATAGGTAACTAATGTCCGTTGCTACCTTTTGAATGGTTGCTACCATTAGGTTGTATTAGAATTTGTTTTTGAACAACAACCGATATGCATTGCATTTGTTCTTGTCAGCTTTCACATCCACTTTGTGTACAATAGGCCTATGACAAACTAGAATTCATGAATATGGTCATTCCACCGTAGGTTATTAATTTGTATTTTATTGTTAGGCCTTTACTACCTGATACGGACGGCTACGGCAGGCCCGAAATATAAAAGAAATGCAAGATAAAAATAATACAAGATTCATTTATTGTCACTTTTTAAGTAAAATTCGTATTCCTGATGCTTATTTATACAAATATTTAATACGAATATTTGTTAAAAATGACATATACATGCATAGTGAAATGTTTGGTCAACCATGAAGAAGAGAGCAGGAACACTATTGGTTGCTAATAAATTTATGTTCCAAGAAGTCACTTACTATCGTTTCTTGTATTCGTATTTTCTATTTAGAACAACGTGGCATAGTG